ACTTTGGGGGGGGGTCTTTTTTTTTTTTCGCGGGGTTCCCCCCGCCTACGGCCCCCACGGGACCCCCCCCCCCCCCCGGGGGCGGGGGGGGGGCCCCCCCCCAGGGCCAGCCACATGGGGGTCACAGACCCCTGGAGCAGCTTCTGGGGACGGTGGCAGATGGGGGGTGGGGTCACAGATCCCCTCTGAGGCTGGGGGGGGCCCCCAAGAGCAGCCACATGGGGGTCACAGACCCCTGGAGCAGCTGCTGGGGCAGTGGCACATGGGGAAACCATGGGGGGGTCACAGACCCCCACTGGGGCTGGGGGGGTGCCCCCCAAGAGCAGCCACATGGGAGTCATGGACACCTGGAGCTGCTGCTGGGGACAGTGGTACATGGTGGGGGGGCACAGACCCTCAGCTCAGTTGCCACCAGCGGTGGCCCAGGCGGTGGCCATGCAAAGAGCCCCCCACTAAAGTGGGGGGGTGGAGGTGTCCCCCCCAACCCTGCTCACCCGGCCAGGCCTGCAGCAGGTAGTGCAGCACCTCGATGTGCCTCTTGAAGTCAACGGCGCTGGCGATGTCCTCGCAGTGGGCGTAGCTGCGGTTGCCGGTGCCGGTACCGGTGCCGGAACGCCGAGGTTCCTGGTTCTGGGTGAGCAGGACGGGTCCGAAACAGACGGCGATGTTCTGCGAGTTCATGCGGTTGAACTCGTGGAAGGAGGCCACCAGGCTGAGGTGGTCCAGGAGCCGCGTCAGCGTGGCCTAGGGGATGAGGTGGCCTCAGTGGGGACGTCCACTAATGCCATCCCGTTGCGTCATCGTCCCCCCACCGAAACAGAACTGAGGGGAACAGCCCCAGGGGATTTGGCTGCGGATGGTCCCTGATGTCACCGGCACCAAGCTTAGATATTGGGGGGATGTGAAGACACCCCCACCCTCCAAAAATGCTTGGGGGGGGTGTCCTTGAGGAGGGAGGTGACACCAAGACATGACACAGGTCGATAAATAAGGACTGTCCGCAGTGGTGGCTTGGGGTGGCAGTGGGACCCCCCACCAAATCCTTTGCCTGAGGTTGGGTCCCCCCCTTTTTGGCGCTGGGCACCGCACCTTTTCGACGTCGGGCAAGCAGTCGAGGAGGGTGACAGCGTCCCGCTCTCCTGGAGGGGTCCGGGGGTGTCGCTTGGCCATGGCCTCCAAGACGACGTGGTAGAGGGTGGGGGTGATGAGCGGCGTGGGCAGCTCCCGCAGGTAATCCTTGAGGATCCCTGTCGGCAAGAGGCCGTGGAGAGGGAGGTGAGCGTGGTGCCGTGGGACGCGTGCGCGGGGACCTGCGGGGACACCCTCCCCCTCCCTGGGACCTGTGATGACGTTGATGTCGGGGTAGAGCTGCTCCGAGAGCGTCACGGCTGCGCTGTCCCTCTCAAAGGCGTCGCGAAGTTCCTTCTTGACGGCGGCCCGAACCCCGAGGCGGCAC